AATAATTAAAAAAACAAGATACTTATTTTCAGATGATCTGGATTAAGATCCAGCAGGTGGGTGCAGCTGAGTTTTGTCTCCATGGGCATCCACGCTCCAGCCTAGGAGAGGCTGGAGACACCTGGCTTAGTTGCCTCATTTTTTTTATTCCCTGGAGTCACCTGTAGGCATTTGAGTCCGTGGTAACGGAAGGTTTTCTGCAGTCAGCTGAGTGGTGGCCCCCAAAGGAGAGCCAGGTCTTAATTCCTGGAACCTGTGAGTGTTACCTAGATGGCAAAACAACAACAACAACAACAAAACCAAAAAACCCCGTGCTTTTGCTGATGTGTCTAAATGAAGGCTCTTGAGGAGGAGAGAATCCTGGGTTATCCAGGTGTGTCTTATGTAATCACAGGTATCCTTATAAGAGGGAGGCAGAGGAAGACTTGAACCCAGGAACAGAAGGTAGGCAGTGACTGAACTAAATACTACACTGCTGGTTTGGAACATGGAGGCACGAACCACAAGCCCAGGAACGCAGCTCTAGAAACTGGAAAAAGCAGGAAGCAGAGTCTCTTCAGGGGGAAGCACTATCTTGCCAACCCCTTGGTTTTAGCACAGCGAAATTGCTCTTGGACTAGCGGCCTCTAGAACTGTAAGAGAATAATCATGTGTTGTTTTAAACCCCTTAACTTGTCCCAGCAGCATTAGGAACTTGCTACATCTTCTTGTACCTGAGAACAAACAAATTAATAATCTCTGCTTCGGTCCCCTGCCCTCTCTACTTTTCCGAGATGTCCCTGACCCTAAGGTAAGGAAGTCCTTGCATCTTGGTAGTCTGGTGACTAGCCTGAGAAGGGCGAATGAGACAGGAGGTACTTAGGGGAAAGATGGTGGCCATTTTCTAGCCATCCTGGGGCTCTTGCTGACCTGAACTTGGGCTTTGAGGAAGATACATAACACGTCCCACAGTGGGCAGTAGAGAACTCTGATGGCATGGGACACCTGAAGACCAAATTTCCTGAGTCTCCCTCCTGTGATAGCCTTGTAGACGTTTTAATTTATCCCACTATTCCTCCCTACCTTTCTGTTTTGGGCAACTCTGCCTCCCCATTCCATGTAGTCCTGGAAACTGAGCCCATTACAAGCTCCCACTCTTCAAGGAACGAGACCGTTCTGATGATTTTCTGGGGGTACTGGTTCTCAAACTGGATTGTGGGTCAGAAGTACCTAGAGGGATTGTTAAAACACACATTGTTGGGGTTGCACCCCCAGAGTTTGACTCCATGGTCTGGGCTGAGGATTTGCACATTCGTAACAGGTTCCCAGGTGATGCTGGTCAGGGGACCTCACTGGGAAGTTCTGCTCTGGAAATTTGAGTCTTAGAAGATAGAAGACAGGTGGTAACATCCAAAACTGACGGCTAATGACTGCCTATCATGAAATCCCTGAATTTGATCTGATTCTGGGCATTCTGAGAACCTCATTATTTTTTCATTTTAACCTTGTGAGCCATTCTGAGTTCCGTTGCTTCTTGCTCAAACTAGCAAGACTTGCAACCAAAGAATTTTAATGGCTTGAATTTGCAAGGAACACATGATACAGAAAAAAGGTAGGTCTTGCATGGAACACCAGACTTATAGAGCATATTTTGGATGTAATCTCTGCCGGCCAAGACTTATTAGTACGGACCCTAACCAGCATTTACTGAATGCCTACTGTGTCCCTTATAGGTGGTAGGAGTTTTATAAACCTCTATTAGCCTTACAGTCACTCTGAAGGGAGGGTACTTTTTCTAATTTTTCATTTGAGGAAATGGGAAGCCCAGGAATTTACTATTGGAAAGATAAAATCAACATCAATATTGTCAGTGAATGGTAGGCAATACTGAATAGAGAATGGTATCTTCCTTCCTCTTGGTGTATTTTCTTTTTCTTTGTTTTTCCCCCTCCACTTTCTCTGGATGATGAAGGGCCACATTAGCCTACCTGCATTGCCCCTGTAAAAATCCTTTTAAAAGGACCAGAGGAAATAATGGTGTTTTTTGTTTTAAAATTTTTTAAAAAGATATTTAATTTATTTATTTGACAGAGAGAGCGATCACAAGTAGGCAGAGAGGCAGGCAGAGAGAGAGAGGAGGAAGCAGGCTCCCTGCTGAACAGAGAGCCCGATGCGGGGCTCGATCCCCGGACCCTGGGATCATGACCTGAGCCGAAGGCAAGGCTTTAACCCACTGAGCCACCCAGGCACCCCTGCTTTTTGTTTTAAATCTTAATCAGGTGTTTTAAAAATTGTTTTGGCTGAAATTAGATGGTCTATAAACTACAGAGCTATCAGAAAAGCCATATTTGGGTTTTTGACTCATAAGTAGATAAAACAAATTTGACCCTTGGAATTCCATTAAAAAAATAGCTAGTATGAAGCAGAACGTAAGCTAAATGTTCTGAGGAGAACGGCTCATTGTTTTTATTACAAAAGGAATACTTACGGGACTCTTCCTATGCCCCAGGTCACATCCTCTCAACTTCCCTTTTACTTCATCATTGCTGCGGTAATTGGCTTTGTGCATGGGTAACCGGACAGTCCCTCCTGTTAGCTGCCTCAAGTAATTCTTGCTTATTGCCCCAGGGCATCTCTGCTTCCCTGGGGTGGGACATAGGTAACAACTCATTTACTTAAATTCAGCTTGGAAGTTAGAGATTATGAAAAATTCTTTCCTTAACCCTTCTCTAATGGAGGATGGGTGAGTGCATAAAGTCTCCTTTCCTCCATTTCTGATCTAGGAGGTCAGTCCTGCAGTGTCTTCTTCAAGGCTGCCTCGAAGGTCTCTGTGGGTGGGAGTGTAAGTTGTCCACAGCGGGACGAACTCAAAATGCCCTTTGGATTAGCTGTCCCTCCTACCCTGTTCACTCCTCCCTTGGTATCCCACTCCTCTTCTCTGTAATCCCTGGTACATTAGCTACCTGCAAGCCCAGGTCTCAGGCTCTGCTTCTGGGGGAATCTGGGGTAGGCTAACATTCCTTGTAGAAAATTAGCGTGTTTTTTTTTTTTAATATTTTATTTATTTATTTGACAGATACAGTGAGAGAGGGAACACAAGCAGGGGGAATGGGAGAGGAAGAAGCAGACCTTTTCATTGACCTGAGCTGAAGGCAGACGCTTAATGACTGAGCCACCTGGGCGCCCCGAAAATTTAGTGTTCTTTTTTTTTTAATTTGTATATTCTAACCCATAATCTGGCCCTCTCTAGAGAGCTCTTCTGCATATGTACTTAAAAAAAAAAAACAAAAACAGTGTGGCATCGTACTGTATGTTGTGTCCTGGCTTTCTCTTGTTAGGTTATATTTTCATGTGATTAAATTCTCTCCATGTAATATTTAATAGCTACACAGTATTACATTAATTCATTATTTATAGAGCAGCTACTATGTCCCAGTCATTGTTCTGAGTGCTAAAGACCTAGCAATGGACAAACAGATCTGGTCTCAGCTCTTAAGGAGCTGATGTTCTGGTTAGGATCTCTCTTATATTCTAATGGGGGCAAAATTTATCTAACCAGTGGCCTATTGTCAGTTATTTAGATCGCTTCCAATGTTCAGTATTACAAAACAATGCTCCGCTGCCATCCTTGAAGGTATTCGTTGAATTCATCCTCCGGTTTCTTCTCTTAGGATAAATTCCTAGAAATAGAATTGCTGGAAGAAAGGCAATGAGAGTAAATGAGGGTGCCGGGATTCCCAACTAGGTTTTTCTGTCTGATTCTGGGGCTCTGGCTGTTGATCACCATGCTGTTACTATCCCTGCACTGAAAAACCCTGGTAACTAAAGTAGCCATATCATTCCTAGCTGGCTTAGGCATATAGGCTGTATGATTAGGTTAAGGTCGGGTCCCGGGTGGGGGGGAATCCTGAGTCTGCACATTACCAGCTGTGGGTTTTTCTGTGTGTGTGTGTGTGTGTGTGTGTGTTTTAAAGCTCAGTTTCTTCATCTGTAAAGTGGGGACAATAGTTGTCATCTGAAGGGGTTGTTAGTAAATACGTATGGAATGCCTACCAATCTCCAGACTCCAAGCTAAGAATGGATAGTCCAGGAGGAAAGGGAGCTACTAATAAGCAATTACATGAATCCAAAATCACAAACTGTGTTTTGTGGTATGAAGTATGAGATGCTGTAGGGATGAATAAGCAGGTGAGCTTATTTTGGGGGTGGGGCACGAGAGATGGAGGGGAGATTAAAGGAGGTGTGAGCTGAGCTAGAAAAGATGTGTAGGGGTTAACCGGGAGTGGGGGCGGGGGGAGATTTGAAAAATTCCCGGAGGAGGAGGGAACAGCAGGTTCAAAGCATTTGGAAGATGGAATACGATTGTACGCCACTTCTTTCCCCATCTCGCTGCAGTTCCTTTTGGAAGTGTCTTCTGAGATCTTTCCACGCCTGGCTTTTCTCCACATTAAGCTCTTGGTTCAGAGGCCGTTGCAGAGATGCCTTCCCTGAACATCCCTCCGAAGGTCAGTCCCCATCCCCACCCTGTGCCTTACTTTGTTACCTTGTTTTATCAACAGCTACCACTAATTCAAGCCTTCCTATTCGTTTTTTGAACGTGGTCTTCCTCCCCCGACCCCCAACTTGAATGGAAACCCCATGAAGGGAGAGCTATTAGGAGGGGGCGGGGACAGGGGCCCAGATTTAAATGCTGAATCTTCAGCGCCTGGCGTCCAGTAGGTGCTCAATGCAGATTTGACCGAAGAAACGGTGCTTGGCGCCAAGTCCGCGCTTGACAAGAGCCGCAGGCGGGAAAGAGGAGAGGCTGGGCGCGGAGTGAGGCCACAGACCCGGGTCTGAGGCGCCTCGAGCCCCGCGCGAAGGGGACCTTTCGAGGGGCGCGCCGGGGGCGGGGCCGCCGACCCGGAACCCGAGTGCGGCGGCGGCGCGGGTTTCCGGCCGCGGCGGACACTTCCCGAAGAGGGACTGTCCCGTGGCTGCCGGCGGGCCGAGGAGGACGCGGAGGGCCGGGAGCGGCGGCGATGGACGACCACAGCCTGGATGAGTTCCGCCGGCGTTGGCAGGAGGAGCTGGCGCAGGCCCAGGCGCTCAGGAAGCGGCGGCGGCCCGAGGCTGCCGAGCGGCGGCCGCGGCGGGCCGAAGTGGCCCCCGGGCGCGGCGAGCAGGCCTCGGGATACCTGGCTCTGGCCCAGGGCCTCCTGGAGGGTGCGGGGCGGCCCCCGGCGGCGCGGGCGACCCGGGCAGAGAGGCAGGACGCAGCGAGCCGTTCCCGTTCCCCTCCGGCTCGCGAGGTTGCCGGGGGCGGGGAGCAGCTGGTGGACCAGCTCATCCGCGACCTGGTGAGTGGCCGTCACCTCCTGCCGAGGTCCGAGCCTGCCCCTGCCCCCGCTACCCCCCGCCCCCCCCCCGCCCCGCCCATGACTCGGAAAGTGCGTGCCACCCTATGTCTGTGCAGGCATAGAGTGTCTCTGGAAGGGTTGGTCCCCACTCTGGGGTGACTTTGTTCGCCCATCTTGGCAGTGTCTGCAGACCTTTTTAGGAGGCCACAACTGGGTTGGAGGAGTTGCTACTGGAGTCTAGTGGGCAGAAGTCTGGGACTTCTAAATGTCCTACAGTGCAGGGACTGCACCCAGAGAAAATGATCCAGCCCAAAATGTCAGTATCCGTTTGAGAAATCCTGCCCTTGAACTTTTTTTTTTTTTTTTTTAGATTTTTTATTTTATTTTATTTGACAGATAGAGATCACAAGTGGGCAGAGAGGCAGGCAGAGAGAGAGAGAGGAGGAAGCAAGCTCCCTGCCGAGCAGAGAGCCCGATGTGGGGCTCGATCCCAGGACCCTGGGATCATGACCTGAGCCGAAGGCAGAGGCTTTAATCCACTGAGCCACCCAGGCGCCCCACTGCCCTTGAACTCTTAACAAGGGTTGTCTTTAGGGAGGAGGCTCAGGGCAGGGATAGGAAGCAATTTTAACTTTGTTCTGTATAATGCTTGTACTACTCAGTTTTTTCCCAACAGTACATGTATTTAAGAGAGCAGGGGAAGAAAATCCTTTGGGCACTGTCATTAACATGGAGGTTCTTATCACTTCACGGGCATGGATTCTTTTGAGAATCTGGAGACACCCCACTCCCCACCCACCAAAAAAAAAACACAACCCCTTTACAAAGTTGGCAAAGTCGGGATCCTCTAAAACACATCCATGGTTAAGGGTTAGGACAATACAGGAGGTTTTAATGGTTTGATTTATTGGGGGGGGGGCGCATAGAGGAAGAGAGAATCCTTAAGCAGACTCCTCACTGAGTATGGAGGACCTTGCTGGGCTAGTTCTGGTGAGCTTAAGATCATGACCTGAGCCCAAGTCAAAAGTCTAGAGTTGTCGCTTTAACGACTGAGCCACCCAGGTGCCCCTGGTTAGATTTAAATTAGGCTTAAAGAAGGCTTCTACAGCTTCCCAGTTCAGTGTAATTCTGTAATTCGCAAGTTGTTTCTAAAAATGGCTTATTTAACATATTGTTTTATTCAAATAACATTAATAGCTATAGGAGTTTCCACAAAGTTTCTGGTTTACCTCTAGGGTTGGGACCTTCTTCTGTGTATATTATAAACTCATTTAATGTGACAATTCTTATATATATGAGAATTCACACTGGTATCCTGTCTGCTTCTGTAAAAAGTGGGTCATCACTGAGGAAGTCTGGCAGACGTAAAAATCTTTCAATGCCTTGGGAAGGTGGGTTAGCACTGGAGAAATTGCTCAGGCCAGTCCAGATCTATGCAAAAGTTACTCCCATGGAAGCAGATGTGTAGGTAAGGTTCGCAGTGGTAGAGGGAAATTGGAAAGTGAATTGTTAGGACAAGGACACACTTGGGGCCTCACAGCAAAATTCCAACCTGCTGAGTGTGGCAGTGTCTTCAGACTTCACAGCTATCCTGAGAAGTCAGTATTGTTAGTCTCCTTTTATGAATGAGGATATTAAGAGGTTTTCTGTAACTGCCCCAGGGATGCCTTGCTGATAAATTCTGGCGGTTGAATTTGGATCCAGGTGTGTTAGGCTGTAAATTTCCCAGATAGTAGTTTTGCAAACTTGACTTGGTGTAAAAATCCCCTTTAGCCTTCTTAAAAGACAGGTTCTGGTGTGTCCCTAGATCTGCTTAATCAATATCCCAAGGAAGCTCAGAAATGTGATGGTTGGGATGGTCAAACAAATTTGAGACTTTGTTCTCTGCTGTACAGCTTCCTTTGGTTTATAGTCTTGACTTTTCAAGACTTTCCGGCTCTGATACTCCTGAGGGATAGGCATTGAGACCAAAAGTAGTGAAGCCCTTAATGAAGTCTAGAAATGGAAGGGGCCTGCCTACTGTAGGATCCAAAGGGTACATCAGAATTACAGTTAGGAAAAAACCTGCTCTGGAATGGGTGCCCATCATCTCCGCTGTCTGCAGAATCACCATGTTAGATGCTGCTGGGCTCTGCATCCTATGACCAGCGTCCAACCTTTAGAGTGCTTGCTTTTTTTTTTTTTTTTTTTTTTAAGTACTTTGCAATCATCAACACGGCTATAAATAAAATTACTCTCAGTCTCCTTGGTACTGCCTTAAGGGTTTAAAGAACTTATCTTCTTCAGTTCTCCCAAAAACGGTATCTCCGGTGGCTGCTCTTTGGCCCATTTGACAGATGATTAAGAAAGTAATTTTTAGGGGCAGTCAATCTACCCAGTATCCTGAATGTGAGAAGTGATGGTAACCTTTACAGAAAAGGTTTGGATTCACATATACGTGGTTTTAAGCCCCAGAGCCCAGTGGTCATGCCTGATCTCCTGCAAATGAGTAAGGTAGCCTTGGAGTGGCTCATTCTGTCCTTTTCCCTAGTTCATGAGGTGTTTCATTATGTATTTTTCCAGATTCCAGCCATAAATCTGTATTGCTTTAACTCATGGTTATTTTTTTATTTTTATTTTTTTAAATACTCTTTAACACCTGTCTTGGGTCTTGAACTCACAGCCCCGAGATCAAGAGTCGCATGCTCCGGGCACCTGGGTGTCTCAGTTGTTAAGCGTCTGCCTTTGGCTCAGATCATGATCCCCGAGTCCCACATTGGGCTCCCTGCTGGATGGGAAGCCTACTTCTCCTTCTCCCACTCCCCCTGCTTGTGTTCCCTCGCTCTCTGTGTCTCTCTCTGTCAAAAAGTCTCATGCTCCAGTGACTGAGCCAGCTGGGTGCCCCATCATGGCTATTATTCTTTTTGCCACATTAAATATTAAAGATGACAGTTTAGGAGTTGCCTTCATGATATCCCTAAAAAGTACGGAACCATTTTTTTTTTTTTTTTTTTAACCTAGCCGCCTTGGTCTTTCTTTTCTGCTTTTAAAATTTCTTTAGATCAGACCCTGTATAAAATCATAAATGTCCAGGTTGGTGAGTTTTCACAAGTGTACACTTCCATGTAAAATAGCACCCAGATTTCAGAACCTCATTCTTAGTTTGTCAGAACCCCCGTATGTTCTCATCTGACTTCTAACACCTTATTTTAATTTTGTCTGGTTTTGAACTATAAGTAGAATCATACAGCATGTGTTTGCTTGTGACTGGGTTCTAGCACATAGCATTATGTGTGAGATTCATCTCTGTGAATATGTCATGTTTTATTCTTTTGGACATTCTTGATAACTAGTTTCACAGCTGGTTTGGGACTCTGGGGAGTCGTGCTGCAAACACTTTGCACATCGTTTGGAAACTTGTACTCCTTTTTCTTAGGTATATAGCTAGTTGTGGAATTGCTAGGTCATAGGTATGCAGATGTTCAGCCTTAGTAGATGCTGACAGTTTTCTGGGGTGGTTATAATGGCTTTCCTACATGATAGTCACTCAAGTATGTAGAATACAGTATTTCACTTTCTTCTTTGCCATAAATATAACAGCATCTAAACGAGATGACCTATGGCAACTGAACTTGACCTCAGCATGGGCAAGATAAGAAGGTGATAAATTGGGGGATACACACGGGAGCTGGGCTAAAGGTGGGAGCTGCTGCCCAGCTCAGCTGGTTGTTGCCTTGCAAGAATGTGGTTCTAGTGTGGCAGAGTCTATAGGTTTTTGTTTTGTAATTGGGAATGTTTATTTTTATAGGGACTCCATCAATTTTTGCCACACAGAAAACACTCAGGACTTTGGCTTAAAACACCACCATTTAGGGGCGCCTGGTGGCTATTTAGGTGGCTCAGTCAGTGAAGCGTCTGCCTTTGGTTCAGGTCATGATCCTACGGGTTGGTCAGGTCAGGCTCCCTGCTCAGTGGGGAGTCTGCTTCTCCCTCTTCCTCTCCCCCTCCTCCTGCTCATGTGCCCGCTCTCGCAAATAAAACAAAAAAACCCCACCACTACTTAGTTCACTGTTTTGCAGGGTGGCAGTTTGGGCTGGGCATGGGTGGGTCCACTCAGATATCTGAGGTTAGCTGCTGGTGCTGCCGCTGGGGGCTGGCGAGCCACTGGGGGTGTGTATGTGCTTGCTCTCTGTCTCCTCCTACAGGTGAGCCCTGAATGGGCTTTCTCAGGGCTGCAAGAGCAGCAGGAGGGCAAGCTCTGATGCCCAAGTGCTTTGAAGTCTGCCCAGGTCATGTTTGTTACTGTCACGTCTGCCAGAGAGCCAGATGGCCAAGTCTAGAGTCAGGGCGGAGTCACCCACTGCCTGGATACGGGGAGGAGTGAACAAAGTAGTGGCCATTAATACTATCACTCAAATTCTTGGTGGTCTATCACTCAAATTAAATTCTTCCCATTTTTAACTGTTGGTAACTAATGCAAAAAAAAGTTTTTAAGTACTAACACCGTGAGTTAAATGAAATCTTCTGTGGGCCGGGTCTGTGCTGAGTCCTGAGTTTGTGTTCTTTGTGTTTGTTTTCCCAAGACTCCTCACTTGATCTGTGGCTGACACCTATGGAGGAAGATTTAGTCCCACCTGAGACTCCACAGAAACTCTGACAGGCTGACCCACTTGACATGAGGGAGAAATATAAATCCGGTCCCACCTCCTAACATTCCCTCTCTTCTGGGTGATGTCCCCCCAGTCCCTGGTGTGCTCTCTTGTGCCAATGCGTTCTGTTGTGTTGTATTTGACGCAGCCTCTTGCCCCCCTCTGGGAGCCTGTAGTGTCCTCACTGGAGTGAGATCCAACTAGTAGGTTGGCATTCAGGAGTTAGTTCGCCTTTAGAGGAGTGGGTGAACGGCACCGCGCTGGAGTGCCATCTGGCCGGGTGCCGGCCGGACTGGCAATGGACAAGCACAGCTGAGATGAAAACTTGAAAGTGACTCCTGTTGGGCCTCGTCTGGTCTTAGAAAGCTTTAA